GTATCCCCTTTTTTGTTTAGTTTTGTCAGAGATGGGTATTCCATCGCCTTTTAAATATTGTAGGTGTGTGAATTCAGCAAAATATTCCAATATAGTCCATAGTAGCAGTGGGTTATCCATAGGAATGGCAATGTCAGAGGTTGTTGACTTGAGCATTTTATTGCTCAGCATATTAATATGGCTTTACTTTTTATACCTTGTTTTTATACTTTTCTGCTGGATGGTTAAGACCAAGATAAAGCAAGACCTATATAACAAGAAATGTAACTTTTGTATCTGACAAGTTCAGTCAAATCTCCTCAGAATTTACCCTGAAATCTTGTACTGCAGTTTGTAGATCCTTTGTCAGTGTCAACCATATGGATGAGTCACAGCCATTGCTTGACCAACTTGCTCTCTGTGAAAGCCTGAGAGAATGTTTTCTCTCCATGTGATTCTCCTTAGGCACACTCTACATCATTGATCACTTTCCTCTGTGGCTCCATAATCTCCTAGATCAGTAAATTTGGGACACAACTGAGTTACATGATATTACAGTACAGGTTCTCCTATGTCCTGAGTCCTCACTGACCTTGAAAGACTAGGGCCAAGATATTGGCTGTCCTTGCAGCTCTTCTTTTTCTCTAATTTTTGGTCTACAAACTTAAGTTGTTAACCCTCCAGAAGAGACGCTTACTGATACTATTACCCTGTAATGTAGGCAGTTGAGCTTAACCTCACTATCTGTCTGAATATCAAACATCTTAGAGATAAGATGGAACAAGTATTTTCCATCAAGTATCGATATGTTAAACTTTAAATCCCTGCAGAATGTGAAGGAAAAAATAAAAAGTAAAAAATATTTTAAAAATAGGAATAAAGAATTACATATTTTTACACAGAAATTTAGAAATCTAACTATATACAGCATTGTAGCAGGGCAGTACTATGACCTTTTTTTTTTCCTTGTAGAGACAGTTTTTGTCTCTTCTGATTATTTTTGGCTTGAACTCCACTTCATCTGAAAATAGAATAACTACTTCCACTTGATTTTGGGTTCCCATTTCATGGAGTATTAATTTCCATTCTTTGATTTCTTTTTATCTGGGGGTTTTCTTTTGAGTTAAATGTGTTTGTTTTATGCCATGTACTGTTAGTTTTAGTTTCTCTATTCATTCTACAAATCTGTGTTTTTTATCCTATTGATTCTAATACTGGGTGCCTTAAACAAAAGATGGCCATTTTCTCATAGTTCTGGAAGACAAACCCATGGATAAGTGTGTATCAAGAGACAGAGGTAGATTTGGTTTCTAGTGAAGGATCTATTCTTGTTTGCAGAAGGAGGCTTCTTCCCTTATGTGGATATAGACTTTATGGTACACATAGATGGAGAAGGAAGGAGGGAGAGAGGGAAAGAGAGGGAGAGAGAAGACAGAGAGGAAGATAGAAGAAAAGAGAGCAAGAGAGAAAGGAGAGGTTTAATGTCTCTTCTTTTCCTTTATGAACAGAAGTCTTATGGTCTTGGGCCATAATTTTATAACTTCATTCAATCTTAATTACCTTACTACTTTATTCCTTCTATTTCCCAATATGGAGACGAGGAGTTAAGTGTTTATGATCTGAAATTTGGAGACATAATATAGTTGCTAACAACATTGGTACCATGAAAAACATCCCATTTGTCCAAACATGGTGGCACACACCTGTATTTCCAACTCTTCAGGGAGCTGAGGTGAAAAGATGGTAAATTCAAGCCCAGTCCAGCCAACTTTGGAAGACCTAATATCAATACAAAGTTAAAAGACCCTAGGCCTAGTGTGTGAGTGAGATGACCTGGGGCCTGCCGGATCCTCATTCAACCCAGAATGTAGGCCCGGCATGTGAGTGAGGCTGCCAGGGGCCCGCCGGACCCTCATTTGACCCAGAGCCCAGGCCCAGCATGGAACCCTTCAGCAGAACTCCCTGCAAAGAGGCTAGAGGTAAGACCTACCCAGCTTATTCAGGAGCAGAACATCTTGCCAGAGTGTCACAGAGGGTTTACCTCCAAGGGCTGCAGCAGGAAGAAATGGAGCACAGCAATCAGACCCAAGCTACACCCACCTAGAGGCGTCTGAACTTGATAGATCTGGACCTGGTGCTAAGGTAATAACTCTATCTGAGCTCTAAATCAAAGGTCAGAAGACAGTGGCATACAAAATGACAAAGAGAAGAAACAAAATGCAGTCTTGAGCTCCGAGTCCACCCAGAACAACTGCACAAGACACTAGCATAGAAGAAATTGGAAATTACACACCTGAAATCTCTAAAATAATAAAAGAAACAACAGCAGAAAGGTATAGAGGAAATCATATCAGAAATAATTTCTGAATTAAAGAAAGAAATGATAACTATAATGAAAGAAGTACTAAGTGCTTCTAAACAATACACTGATTAAAAAGTAGAGCAGAATATAAAAATGATGGAACCCCTGAATAAGCAATTTAGGAAAGAAATAGAATGCAGATTCAAAGTGGTATATAGGACATTAAAACCTCAATCACAAGCTGGCAAAACCATTTGAATGAAAGTGAGAATAGACTTTCAGACCTTAAGGACACCATTGTAGTTAGTGAAAATGTAAGAAAAGATCTCTTAAAAACAACTAGGATGTAGGGAAAAAAATTCAATACCTGAAAGCCGATGCAAGGATGAAAAATGTGAAACTAATAGGCATCAATGAGAAGGAAGGAGCCCATACAAATGATGTATAAAGAATATGAGCAGAAGTAATAGCAGAAAACTTCCCAAATATAGGGAAACAATCTGACATTCAGGTAACCAAAGCATATAGAACTCTAAATAACATCAACACAATTAAAACCACACCCAGACATATAATAATCAAGATCTGAGAAATTCAGCTCAGGAACAGTATACTAAAAGCCGCTAAAGAAAAGAAACAAATCACATTTGAAGGAAAACCCATCAGAATAATGGCAGAGTTCTCTTCACAAACCATCAAGTCAAGAGCATGGAGCAGAGTAATACAAGTCTTGCAAGAAAACAAATTCCAACCCAGACTGATATAACCTGCAAAACTCTCTTTCATGTATAATGGAGAAGTGAAATACTTCCATGACAAAGAACAACTAAGAATTTCATGATGACAAAGCCAAGCCTACACAAACTACTAAATGTTGTTCTAGAGACGGAGCAAAATTATCATAACTCCATGAATGAGAATGGAAAGAACCCACCAAATAGGGCAAATAATTAAACACAGGAGAATAAGAGGTATACAAAAGTAGTCTTTCAGTTATTCTTTTGTGTTCAGCAGCAAAATATTTCCATCAGCATACTTTACGAATGGACTTCTCTTGCACCCTATGGGACATGATTCCATCTGGGTCTACAGGGTGGATTACAAGGAAATAACAGTGGCTCAGTCCCACAAGTGACACCTGGCTACCAGTAAGTGTCATGGACATTATCCATGTCTGCAACACACTAGAACTTTGTGTGATATCTTATCCTCAAACTGTTAGAAGTGCTAGTCATTTATTTGCCATATCCAGTATTTATCTTATGTTTTATTGTTAGTACTTTTTTACTATCATGAAAACTTTTTTTTAGTTCAATTGTTTTGAAACATTTAATTTTTAATTGATATTTAATTTTCTGAATATTGCTTAATCTTAATTTTTGTTTTAAGATTTATACTATATCTTTGACCTATAATTTATTTAAAAGACATGGTATGATATTTTCTCCTAGTATTAGAAACTTTAAAAAGTATATTCCATTTTCCATTGACTTTATATTACTTCTTCCCTGTACACACATACACACACACACATATATATATATGAAAAAAGTACGTGTATAACCTGACATAAGATTGATACTATTTCATAGAAATATTTGATGATCATTTAAATAAGAGTTCATCTAATATATTTTATATAGTCCTGCATAACTATCATTTTGAGAGCTCTTTATTGTTCATCCAGAAGCATGCTGCAACTTCTCCTGCCTTTTGAATTATGCTCTTTGTTATTTTCTATATACTACTTCTGGAGGTATTAGAATATTTCAAGTTTGTATAACTGGAAAATATTTTTCTTTTAGTTTTTAAATCTATGTATGCTAAGTATAAAATTCAGAGAGGACAGATTTTTTTTTGTTTCTTCCAGTCCTTTAATTAGTCTAGCTTCTTACATACTTTGTCTTTTTTTCTTTCTTTCTAATGTGGAATAAGATGCTATTTAATTTTGTTCTTCCATAGCTAATATTTTTTATGTATATGCCTTAATTATTTTTTACTTTACAATAAGTTTTGGACAATTTCATTTTTGTATATCTTGGTATGATTTTATTCAAACTTCTTGTGCAAAAGGTTCATTTTTCTTGGAAATGTGGTGTTATACGTTCAACTAAATTCAGAAATTTTGAATCTTTAAATATTTATTACCTACCCCTTTCTACTTTGAGAATTCTGTTGAATTCTTACAACTTACATATGAATGTAAGTTTCTTGATTTTGACACAGAGTGAACTATTATATGACTGATCTGTGATTTCTTTCTTCTTCATTTTTATTTTGGTTTTTTTCATTTTTATTTTGGACAGTTTTTATTGTTATATTCATTTAAGTTTGCAAATAATTTATTTACAGTGTGTAATCTATTAATCTCATGTGTTTTGTATTCATTTCAGAAATATTTCTCTAAAAATCACTCTTCTATATCTTATATCTTTCACATTTCAATATTTGTCTACAATTTTTAATATGATATGTAATTATTGATTTTTAATAAAGTTAATAAAAAAAATTTTTAAAAATAAAAGTGCCTAGGGCTGTAGCATGGTGGATGAGTGTTACAGATATAGCTATTGGTTCAATTTCCAGCGATGGAAAAAATAAAAATAAAAAGCAAAACAAAACCTCCCAAACCCATGTGAGAGCTGCTCATGAAGATGATCATTTTAGCCACTTACCACTGTACCATACTCTCTTCTAACCTTGTTCTTTCCCTCCCCAGCTAGACATCATGGACTTCATTGAGGAAGTAATTGAGTGTATCCTGAACGTCATGAGTCCTGATGAGCTCCAGAAACTGGTAGCATACGACAAAGTCTGGAAGATGTTTACAGAGGAAGCTGGATTGTCCAGGTATCTTGCATGGTACTCCTGAGCAAGGTCAACCTGCCCCCACCCCCGTTGGAGTGGATTCCCCTAGGCACACATTCTTTCTCCAAACAGTTTCCTGGTGGATGGTGAGCCTTCTCAAATATCCCAGAGGGAAATTTGCTCCCTGCTACTTCTTGGCAATGAATGGCCTCAGGTTGAGGAGTGTTGATGCTCAGAAGGGACAGGATCACTGCTGGCATCTGCTTGGTATGAGACCTTTGCAAGTCACTTTACATCTTTCTGACTTAGCAGCTTCATCTGTTGTGTTTTACTTTAAGAAAAATAAGATAAGGTATAGAGGGTGCTTATATAGGGTGACACACAATAGGTATGTAAGCAAAGACAAATTTCAAGGGCCAGGTGAGAAGTAAGTAGGGCCCAGGGCCAGCTCCTTTGAGAGGCCAGCCAAGAAGTACTGATTTTTTGGTGATTCAAAACAGTTAAGTATAATCAGTGTTGTTGTTTGTTTTTTTTCTCTCCTGTATTTAGGAAAGGGTCTACAGGGTCTCACTGTGTAAATCAGACTCATAGTGATTATTTTGTTTTCAGGCTCCAAAGCGCTGGGATTATAGGTGCATGCCACCAAGCCCAGTCTCAATCATCCTGTGGGTAGAACTGGCCTGACAGGCTGGGGATTGAACCTTGGTGGTTGTGCTCTGCCTACACAGGTGCTTTAGTCTGCTGAGCCATCAGGCAGGTCCTAGTGCATTTTCTTTGGAATTCCACAGCAGTCCATTTATCACCCTAACTGAAGACCTATGCAAACACAGCAGGATCTATCTGTGGCCCCAAAGGCAAAGAAGCCAGAGTGGAGCTGGACAGAACTGGGTGGGAACTGGCAATTCCTGCCCTATCCAGACTCCAGGTTTATTCTGTGGATAGTGAGATTAGCAGCTGGGTGCCAGGACCAGTGATTCAATCTGATAGGACTGTGGTGAAGGCCTGGGAGTGAGCTGTGGGGCAAAGGTAGGGAACCAAGTGCCTTTCAGACAGCACCTTTCAAGCAACCTAGAATGATGCACACCAGAGTCAGAGCCAGGGCTCAGGATTGAGGAAGAAGGGGAGTTGATTGGAGCAATTTAAGAAGTCTGGGGTCACAGAGATGGGACCAGTGTGAGCCAAATGAGGGGCTAAAAGATAAAGTGTGACAGGATGATGGGATATTTTATCCTCCTGCTGGTCCACCACAGATGATTATAGAGGCTGCTGTGTCTCTGGGTGCTGGCAGCTCTCAGCTGTCATTCTGGATACCCTGCTGCAGTAGTAGCTCTTGCCATCTGAAAGGCAGGGTGGCTTAATGATAACTTCTGAAGCAGAAATAGTTTCCTCACTATCAGTGCATTTCCAGAGAGTCTAAGTGACTCAAATCTTCACCACAAATGAAAATATTCCCTTTTATATTGAGACCAATTGCAGATCCTTTTAGGCTTAGTAACTCATATAGGTGGGCCCCTATGTCTCATGAATCTTTGAAAGTAAGCTTGGTTGCACACATCTGAACCTGTCACCAATGCATTTATCAGGTGGGTGACATCAGACAGTCATCCTGAATTTAGGGGTGCCAGGTCAGGAGTGGAGTAGGAGGTGTCAAGATTCAGTAAGGTTGGTGCAGAGTCAGGGTGGAGGGAGTGCCAGAATCGAGGTCCTCTGATTCCATTCTACTGTGAAAGCAATGGGACCCAGTGACATTCAGTTGGGAAGGGCAAAGGGCATCAGGATGGGTCAAGAGCTGATGGCAGAGCACACAACCTACATAGACTCTTTCTGTTCTCTGGCTTCAGTTTTTCAATGTGAATTTCTAAGAATTAGCCAAACTTCAGAGTCTGAGGGCGCAGTCCCTGAAGCCACCCTTATTTTTGATATCAAACATCTACAGGGTTGGTGACTCAAGAGAATTCACAGGACTCACTGTAAACAATTATGACACAGAGTGGATCACCAGGAAAGGACACAGTTAAAAAGCAGTCAAAGGAACAGATATGTCAAGCTGAGCCTGGAGAATTTCAGGCATACAGTATCTATTGCCCAGTGGACACAGTGCAGTCCTATATTTAATGTGTGACAATTCAGATGGAGACCTGGCCACCAGTGTGGCTCACCCTGTGACATAAAACATTATTTTGACACATGTGGAAGCAGCTCAGAAGACTTTAAACAGAAGGATTGTGGCAATGGGGGAGAGAGATTGGATATAGTAAAGATAGCTGGGATTCACACCAAAAAGAAAAGCCAGGGGCAATAGAGAGCTGACAACTACCAGGGACAACAAGAGGAGGAGCAATCTGGCAACAAGGTTTTGTGGGACTTCTCCCAAAGCAGGTCATGGAATAGCAGGGATCAAAGCCAGGAATAGGAACTTGAACAGATGTGAGGAACAAGAGCTTCATAGTACTCTGACTTTTCTTACTAAGCCTAAAGGCACAGGGTAGAAATGGAATCCAAGTCAACAACTACCTAAAGAGGTTCAGAAATTCCTGACTAAATATTGATCATGGAAGGAGTCATTTTTAACCTGTCATTGATGGTAGAGTTTTGGGAGACTGGATCACACACTGTCTGGAGGACGTCTCCCCATCCAGATGCTAGTTGCTTTATTGTCCAGTTCCCCTGCAGAACAGAAATCATCCCATAGCCACCATCAACATCACCATGTGAAGACTGAGTATCTTTTATGAATACTATTATAGACTCTAGATTTTTTGAAAATTTTGTTGATAGAGTATGAGAAATCTTTGGGACAGGGCACATATCTAAAGGATGAAATTCATTGATGCTTTTCTGTATAATGTGAAAGTAATTCTGTATAATATTTTTAGCAATCCTGTGTCTTGACCGTGACCTATCCAATGAAGTCACATGTGGGATTTTCTACCTGTGATATCAGCCATGTGTTCAAAAGCTTTCAGAGTTGACAACATTTCAAGCTATAGGATTTTCAGGTTAGGTATATCAAACCCTGTAGCACTGTAGCCAGTCTCCAGTCAAACACAGATATTCCAGCAGGAAAAGACTCCAAGTTCCTACAGATCCCTGCCAGCGATGAGTGAAAGGGTGACATACTCAAGTCAGGTTAATTTTTCACTACAGACTAAGTCTCTCTGAATTAAGCCTCCTAGTGCTGTACTTTTCTCTTTGTTCATTGGCAGAGCCCCTATTCTATACAAAACTTGGTAGTTGAACTGAAGAGAGAAAGTGTCTCATCAAACATCTGCTTCTAAAGAGCATCTTTTTCCTTTCTTTCTTTCTTTTTTTTTTTGTATTTAGGACAGGGTCTACAGGGTTTACAGGGTCTCACTACATAGGTCGGACTTGTAATGATCCTTCTGTTCACAGCCTCCCAAGTTCTGGGATTACAGGTGTGCACTACTGCATCTGGTCTCAATCATCATCTCAGTGCACCCTGGAGGTGGGGCTGTCATGCCAGGCCTGGGATTCAAACCCTTGACCCCTGTGTCCGCCTAAGCAGGTGCTTTAATCTGCTGAGCTATTTGGCTGGCTCTAAAGAGCATCTTAATATGAACTTACTCAACGGTCCTTGAGTTCACCAAGAACACACCCCATCTATGATACATTTTCATTGGTAGAGGAAAACTTCTGTACATTTGTAAAAATTGATTTCCATTTCATTTTCAGTAAAGCCCCTAAAGTATATGCAGGAGAGTTCCTATTGAGCCCACTTTATAAATAAAAGGCCTTTCTTAACACCTGAACTTTGCTGTTGCAGGGATGAAGCAAAAAAGCTGTATGATTATTTGAAGAAGTTTGCAGCAAACAGCACAACAGAGGACAAAAAGAGGTTCCAGGAAGAAATTCGGGCTGGGAAGCAGCTTTTGAAAGTGGCTCCTAAGGTGAAAGCAGAAATAGAGTCATGTTCACAGAAGCTTTGCGCCCTTGCCGAAAGGGTTGACAAAGTGCACAAAGGTTGCACCGTCTCCAGTGTGGTGACCAGCTCTGTTGGTGCTGCCTCTGGAGTCATGAACATCCTTGGCCTGACTCTGGCACCCTTCACAGCAGGGGGAAGTCTACTGCTCTCAGCAGCTGGGACAGGCCTGGGAGTAGTGACTGCTGTATCTGGTATTACCACTACAACCGTAGAACACTTAGACAAGTCCTTAGCTAAAGCTGAAGCCGAACTCATCCTGTCAACCAGTGAGGACAATTTGAAGAGATTGCTAGGATTTAGTGGTAAGATTATACTCAAATTGAGCGAAAACATTATGAAATTCAAGATGAAAATGGAGGACTTGGTGAAGACCATCCATGCTCTCAGGAGAGCCCAGGACAACTGTGCCTTAGCACGCAATGCCATCCGCTTCACTACCACTGGGGGACTCTCAGCCAACAGGGCTGCGGAGGTGCAGAGAGCATTTGGAGACACACCCCTCTCAATGACCAAAGGAGCCCGGATTGGGGGTGCAGTCCTAGAAGGTTTGTCCCTTGGGATGAATGTGTACTTCATTGTAAAAGACTCAATGCATTTGCATGAGGGAGCAAAGGCACCGCTAGCTGAAAAGCTGCGGCAGAAGGCTCAGGAGATGAAACAGGCATTTGTGGCGCTCAACGAGATCCTACAATTTTGTTGTTAGGTCTGACTCAGTCCCCCTCCTCACAAGCAATGCATAGGTAAGGGCATACGTTCTGGACAGAGGCACGGACAGACGAATGCATTACATTAGAAGGAGCAAAGGGATAAGATGAAGGGCATTAAGGAGTCTGGCGTAGTTTGTTAGTGACCACAGCAAGGGAGAGGTTAACACAGACCATAGTTTAGCTACAGGGAAGACAAGATACAAGGAGAGTTCAACAGGTGAAAAATCAATGCACACAATGCACCACAGAAACATAATTAATAATGAAGTCATATTATCTCAATTCTTGCAGAAAAAGCATTCACAAAATCCAACATTTATTCATGATGAAATCCCAAAAGGAACTATAAATTACAGGGTTGTCTCTCAACCTCATGGAGTGTATTTACCATAAACTGGTATAAAGCATCATCCTGAATAGAAAAAAAAACTGAACTGATTTACTGTAAAACCTGGAACATGGTGAAGATGTCCACTAGCTCCACTGCTATTCAGTATAGTCTTTGAACTTTTAGAGAGAGCAATTAGTCGAGAGAAAAAATATACATAAGAAAAGGAGGAGTCAACTTCTCCGTATTTGCAGATGATCTGAATCTATATTTAGAAGATTCTAAAGACTCTACCAAAACACCTTCACATTTGATAAACAAGCTCAGCAATAGCAGGATGTACTATCAACTTGAGAAAAATTTAAAAAAAACTATCTAAACAGCAGGAATTAGCTAGTTGACAAAGCAAGCAGGAAAACAATTACATTCACAGCACCATCCAAGCAAAAAGCAAAATTAGAAATGAAATCTAGTGCCTGAAAATCAACCTAATCAAGATGAAAGACTTCTATAGCAAAACTAGAAAACACTGAAGATAAAGAAGGACAAAGACACTAGAAGTTAGAATGACCTCCCCACGTTCATTGGAATAGTCCATTTCTCAGTTCTTTGGCAGCTCTGGAAACAATATTGTGATGTTTATGTTTGTCATGAAGAATTAAGATGGTGGGAAAATTGGAAGCCAGGAGCTTCCAGCAGGCCTGGGACCCATGGAAAGATAACGCTAGCGACTCCAGGGGTCACCTCTCCTGTGCTTAACCAGTGTGCAAGCCCAGGTTCAGTGGTGCAGCTGGGGGCCATTTCCCCCTGAGACATGGAGGAATTATTCCTAGACAGCCAGGGAAAATGCTCAAGCAGCAACCTCAGGAGCCCAGATCGTGCGTGCAGTCTATGGTCTGTCTCATGGGCTGTTCCACCTTGTGCAAGATTCGGTGTATCTGCGCCCAAGGAAGTGACTCCCTCCAGAAGCAGTGCAGAGGTCACAGGACATATGCTGGCCAGGGGATGGAACGTTGGGGGCATTTTATTGGGGGAAAAGGAGGTATTCCTGAGTCACTTGTAGGACAATGGATGTGACTTGAGATCATGCTATTCAGTGACATAAACTAGACACATAAGTTTAAATATCCCATATGAGAAACCCACAATGCAAATAAAGAGCAAAATAAAAGTTAGAGAGTAAGAAAGAGAAAGAATAATTATCTTCAAATGGGAAGAGGACCAAGAAAAGGATGGAGGGGAAGGAAAAGGAGGGGCAGACAATGAGAAAAAGAATTAAGACAAATTATATACATGTGCTACCTCTGCACAAAAAATGTAATCATTATGTACTGCAAAACATGCATAGTACTAATAAAAAGAAAAACTCAAACAGAATAAAAGGGGCTATTACTGTTTAAATCTAAACTGTCCCTGAAAATCTCATGTGTTCAAAGGTGGGGACTGTGAAAAAGAAATTGGATCATGGTGGAGTTATACTCATCAATTGTTCATAAATATATTGATGATTTATGGATGAATATCCTGCGGGGTCTAATCAGAGAAAGAGACTGGAAATTGTGGGTGAGTGTGACATGAAAAGGATTCTTCTTTTCTTATTATTTTTCATATTAAAGAGGAAAAACCAAAAACAACAAGAACACCAAAGCAACACAAAACAATAAAAATGGTACAGCATTTCAAAGGGGGAAAAGCAAATTAACAATGGTTGTTATATTACATATTGTCATGATCAGATTTGTTGCTGACATTTCCAGATACAGGCATTCAAGATTGATCAGCCAATTAAATGTTAACTCTTCCTTTCACTAATGCTTCATATTTTTCCTTCACCTTTTTACTTTTTAAATTTAAAGGGAGTATACAAATAATAGATGAGGCGTTAGAGATGATACATTTAAAAGGACAAGATGAAAGGTCTTCAACCATGATTGTTCTATTGCACATTGCTGTCCTCAATGTCCTAGCTCAGATTACAGATATCAGTATATAGAGTTGGCCAAAGTAAACATTTTAAACATTAACTGCTACCTTCAAGAAAGCAGTAGAACTTAGTAGTACAGTCACCTCTGCCATCCTGTGTATGTACCTCCATGACTTCTCCCCTTGCTCCCACAGTAACAGCCTCCTGCCCCTCCTTACTTCTTCTCCACGCCTCCTCCTCCTGCCCCTTCCCTCTGTACTTCCTTCCCCTCAGTTCCCACTTCCTTTTCCTCTTCCCATTTCCTTTCCTCTTCTCCTTTTCCTTCTCTGTCTCCATCTCCTCTGCCCCTCCTTTTCCTTCGTCTTTTTTGAGACAAGTTTCTCACTGTAGTCAGGTTGGCCCTGAGCTACAAATCCTCCTGCTTCAGCATCTCAAGTGCCGCAATCACACAGAGGCAGCGCTGGGCCTGGCTTAGGCTGCGACTTCTCGAAAATGGTCACAGTGATCATGACAGCAGAGTTAGTGCCGCACTTGCCATAAATCCAGCCCTCTTTTTATTGAAATTCTATGCAATCCCAAGTGCTGCAATGGAACAGTCATTAATTTGGGAGGGGCAGGAAACCAGATTCTGGGAAGATGTGAAGGAAGCTGGAGGTCTGTGGAGACAAACTGGGTGCGTGTCAAGAGATCAAGCTCTCTGAACCTCAGGTTTTCGGTCAGTTGGGGAGGGGCTGAGGTACAGGATAATATCTCAGGTCTGTTTGGCTCTTTCTATTTAATGTTTTCATTTAACAAATATCCCTTGAAAATTAGGTGCAAAGTAACCAACTGCCAAAGGTAGAGAATAAAGAAAGAGGCAGAAAGATTCAGAATTAGAGTCTCACCTTTAGGGAGTGTCTGTGTATAGAATCTCAGTCAAGGACAGAAATAAGACTGGTGGGTTGGGGCTGGTGAGATAGGTCAGCAGAATAAGCACCTGCTCAGGCCAGCTCAGGGACTGAGCTGAATCCCTCGCACCACATGCCACGCTGTCCAGGCTCCTGAATGCACTGAGCCTACCACCAAGACTGGCATGGTGACACACACCTATAATCCCACTGCTGGGGAGGCTGCAAACAGGAGAATCAGTACGACTCCTAGATGCATAGTGAGACCCTATACCAAATACATAAAAGAAAAAAGACTGGTGGATCCTCATAAACTTACCAGAGTTAGCTGGAATGTATCTGGTTTCGCTGAAGCTAACATCAAAACCAGGTACATTCCTGGAACCAATATCACCCAGACCTGGTAGTAAAATCTCAGATACTAAATGATGGTTGTGTTTATCTGTACTATGGTGAGAAATGAGGTGGGCAAAAGAAGGTGAAGTTTTCTCAGGGACACAGATATCAGTTAGGATTCACGGTGACAATGTTAAGATGTTTCCAACTTCGGGGAGGACAGCAGAGTGGTGAACAACAAACAGGTTCTCTGAGATTTGTGTTCAGATGGATCCCTGGGACCCAGCAAGGATCTGAGGAGAAAATGGAAACCCATAGGGAGAAGAGCCTCCAACAAGTAAGAGGGAGGTGGCCAGCAGCACATCCTCCTGGAGCCCCGATTGCCTGTATGGGAGGGGCAGCCCAAATCCCAAGGCCTCCACAGAGAACAGCACCAGTGTAATGAAGTAGTGGCTGTAGTGGACTGCAAAGACTGGTACATTACTTGGGTTCAAAAGTCCCCAGCAGAGTGGGATTAGCCAGTGAGCATCTTGGAGAGGGGCCCATGGACCCTGGAAGGCAAAGCAAATGTTGGCTCCATCTGGCAGCTCCAGGTGTCAGGATGAGGCAGAACCAAGTTCAAGTCAGCAGTAGGTCAAGGAGCTAAATTCAGTCCTACAGGAAGCCAAGTTCTAACTGGCAGGAGGCACACACTGTACTGCCCCCTGTTTCTGCTCTTCTGTTTTCCTGAGCTTTCCACTGCAGTGGCTGCTATCCAGGTTCCCAGTGGATTCTTGTGACAAGAGAAACTCTTTCCTCCTATTTCCCATGAACTTGAGGCACTGCTTCTCCATTATGTCAGACCCCAGGGCACTGCCTTCTCTCTAACCCACTTCTGTGTTAGCCGCTCCCTGGTTGTGTTCAGTCACAGAAATGCAAAATCCCTTCACACCCAGTTGCACAGACGTGATCTTACCCAGGGTTTCCATTTGCTCTTCATATCTTTGCTGAGCACTTCCTGCCTTTGTCCAGGTGTGTGAAATGCATGGTGCCCAGAGCTCTGCACTGCTTGGGGACGGTGTCACTTAGTGAGGCCCTGCTGCAGCCTCTCATGGACCTGGATGAGCTCCTCCCACTTCCTCTCCGGAACTGAGCCTGCTGCCGCAGCTCTGCAGCTGACTCTGTCTTGGCTCCCGTATACAAATGCACTGACTCTTGCACAAAATTGTACACATCCATCAGAAGGAACACACCTGCAGTTGCTGCCCCTATGATCCTGGTCCTTTGAAAATTGCTAAAGTGGTACCTTCAAAGGCTATGGGAGGGTAGCTGCTTCACCTTATAGGAGTAAGATTTCCCAGGGTTCATGAGGGGCTTGGCTTTGGCTAATAACATCGTGCTGGATATGCCCACCTGCATGGCACAGATGCTTTTCTCAGTGCCTTGGAAGGCTTACACGTACTTCTTCATTGCAGAGACGACATTGGGCATGGCCTGAACCACACCCTGTATAACCTTCTTCTCTGTGTCCACTCTGTTCAACAGCACACGCTTGGCTTTAGCTTTTGCAGACAACTTGTATGAGAGGTCTATGATTCTGGAAGGAGCACAAGTCACAGCAGCTGCCAATCCCAGACCCATCCCAGTGGCTGACAGCACCAGACTGCCACCAGCAGTCACAGGTGCCAGAGTCAGATCAAGGATGGTCAATATGCCAGTGAGATTATCACTGGAGCCTGCCACCATGGTGGTGATGGTACAGTCCTTGTGCATCTTGTCAACCTTCTTGGCAAGGGCATAGAGCTTGGCTATGCCCTCCTCCAGCTCCTTTTTCATATCCCTCATGTGAAGGTCTTCATCACTGTCTGCTTCAAGCTCAGTCAGCTCAATCAGAGCCTCACGCACAGCACTTGCCTCCTCCCTGGAACAGTAAAAGGTCAAGGGGTTAAGCAAGGCAGCTTGTCTGGTTGGACAATGGGCTCTGAAGATCTGCCCTGCATACATGGCAGAAGTTCAGTATAGTCAAGTGGAAAAGCATTGCCCAGATGCACAGAATTTTCTTTCAGATGGAAACATGTTTTGGACACCATTAATTCATACAGGGGTCCGGGGCTGAGCATCCTTTTCATTGCTCTTTAATGGCGGGTATTTGATAAAGCACCACCTCATTCAAGGTCAGTGCTGGGAGGAGCACAGCATTTGTGGAGCAGAAACTGTGCAGATGCGTGCAGAGCAGAGGAGAGCTGCAGGAGAGCCGGAGGCCAGGGGTGCTCAGCGCACAGGGAGGAGGTCGCCTTAAGAAGGGGCAGCCTGTGCTTTACCCTCCAATACTAGGGAGTGACCTGGAGGCCCCTGGAATGTTCTGACTGCTAGGAGTGTCTGTGTTTGCCTGGGGACATTGGTCACGAGACTGTACTGGGTGAACAATCCTACTCCAAAAAGATAAATCTGAAAAAAAACACAGAAATCAGAAACCTTTGATCACTGACATGATGCCACAAGTAGAAAGTTCCATGCCTGTCACACTCAAAGGCAAACCACCCTCAAAAATCATACGAAATTACACCCATGTTGTACATGCAACCGTAGAGAAACAAATAAATTTCATGGTTTGTTCTGAGTCACTGCACCAAGCTATCTCTTAATGTATCAGCAAATATTTCAAAATCAGAAAACATCTGTCAGGTTTTTTTTCATACAGAGTCTCACTACAACATTTGCACTGCCAATGATCTTCCTGTCTCAAACTCCCCAGCATTGGGTTGCTGGTGTGCACCTGCATGCCTGGTTTCAGTGGCTGGCTTGGGGCACCTGGGATTCCAGTGCCAGCAGAGCACCAGGGATCATGTTTGGGTTCTTTTGCTTTCCAGACAGGCACTCAGACCCTTGAGCTATCTCCTTAGTCTCATCTCTCAGGTAAACGTTCCTTCTCCCAGGAATTTCCTGTAATGCGAGCTCATGCTCACAATGTGAGGGGTGACAGGGGCTGTCAGTTCATTTCTGACTTTCAGAGAAACTGCAGGCTAGAAGCATCGACCTCCCTCGGGAGCAGATGGCAGCTCCAGGTCAGCCCTGAAGTCTGGAGAACACGGCAGGACTGAGGTTTACTTAGGGCCTTGGGGACCTCTGCTCAAGGAGGCCTTGACCTTGGCTTCCCAGCGCATCCACACCTGCTCAGCAGCGCATCAGGACAATGCGTCCTTCATAGGCTGAGCCTTGCAGACTGGGAGCCTCATGTGAATGGTCACGCACCACATCTGGGGGCATGCTGAATCCTGAGGAAAATGCAAGCTTTGTGCTTGAAACCCTCCTAATTCTGGCCTCTGTACCTCTTTCCATGACAGATTTTACTCTGGATCTGTCCCTATGATGCACTGGAAGTGTGGAATCAACACTTTCCGTGATTCTCAGGGTCTCTCCAGGTAATTGTCACATGTGTATGGGATATTGGGGGTTCTAAGACTTTTAGTTGGTGTCAGAAATAAGGCTGGTCTTTTTATTTTCACGTCAGATGGGCAATGTGCCCACGTCGTAAGAAGGTTTGAGGGAGGCACGTCTCATGCATTGTAAGACATGAATACCCAATCGTCACGCTTATGAACCAAAGGATCAAGGCTGGTCTTGGAAACTGTGTTTCTGGACTTCACAATTTGATTAACTCTGAGTAATAATACTCTAAAGAGGTCCAAAAGTTCAGCTGGCCTCCCACCAACTCCACTCCACAGTCTGATAATAAAGGCCTTCACACTTTGCTCTAGAGGTTGATGGCTCTGGCTGCTGCCAGAGCTGATTGGGAAGGAGGAGACCCAGCCATTTACCCTGGCTCCATCCTCTATCCACCCTACAGCTCACGTACACATCGACCTTAAGACCTGGCCCTTGCTGTTGGTATCATGAACCAAAAGGACACCTTAGCCAGGTACACTTGTCATGAGTTTGTGCAAAGGTCATGTGCAAAGAATAGGGACAACTTGAGATCCATCTCTGAACCTAGAGCCTGAGATCCCTGAAACTGCTCACCACAGTAAAGAAAGTCCCCTCTGTGTTGGGGACTGTCAGTGTCCTCGAACTCATAAACTATACAAAGAAGGCTGCTCACCATTCTTTCTGCAACTCAGTCACTAAGCCACTGCCTTCCCAATGGTCAGGGCTACTCTGTGTCAATGGAAGAGAGTCCCAAATGATAGTGACCAGCAGGGTGTGAAGAGGAAAAACACCCACCACCACAGCCCTCTGTACTATCTGGGCAGGGTTCCAGCAAGCATAGGGAGCAAGCCTTTGCCGACTGCATCCTCTGCTCTCCAGGACCTCCCCACGCATTGAACCTTCAGCACCCACCTTCTCTGACTCTGTCCAGCCCTGCAGCCCCAGGCTTCCTATTACTGCCATGGCCCAGACCCCGTCTGCTCCATCTGCAGCTATGGCTCTGGCCCTGGTGCAGGTTCCTGGGGGCCTGTGGGAAGCCATGCTCGCCCTGACTCCCAGCTCTCCACAGTCCTGCAGATTGAACAGCTCCTCCCACTGAATACAATGCAGCCCACGTCTCCCAGGTGTGAGCCTGCAGCCCTGTAGCTGACAGCCAGCCAGAGTCCACCCAGCTCTCTCCTCCTCCACTGAGGCCTCTGGGCACCTGAGCCCAGCGTGCTGGTACACAGCAGCTCTCCCAGCACTTGGGAGGCTGAAGCAGGAACAGGGCAAGTAACTGCCAGCCTGGGCACAGAGGAGTTCAAGGGCAGCCTGGACTACACAGAACACAGTAAATGACTTTCTCAAATAGTAAATAGTATAAAAACAAGTGTCCTGTTGTGTTGGTGCAGTTGCTCAGACACAAAGATAAGCAGCCTGAACCAAAAGCCCAGGAAGAACTAACGAGGTCTGTGTTCATGAGTTTCTCATGCAAGTCCTTCCTGGCTCCTGTCTGCAAGTAGGGGCCTTGACCTGCTCTCTCCCTTCCTTCCAGTCACAGTGACCTTTGCTCCAGCCCTGCGGTGTGGCAGCCACAGGCTATGCACTTTCACACATTATCTTATTTTTCTTAAGAGGAAACTCGAGGAATGAAGAAACTAAGGCAGAGCATGGTGAAGGACCAGCAAAGGCCACATAACTCGCAGCTGGCAGAGGGATGCTGCTGAGTGGGTGCTGTTTCCCTTCAGCCTGTGGCCATTCCCTGCCAGGGGTGAAGGGAGATCATGTCTCCCAGGGACTGGAGAGAGGAGGCATGCTGAACCCCAGCCATAGCCTGCCCCTGAGAGCCCCGGTCCAGCGGGCATCTGGACAGCCTGCTGGGCTCCCCACTCAGGTGACCTGGTCAAATGAGTCGTCTCCACCAGCATCTTCCAGGCAGCACCTTCAGTCAGGAGTTGGTGCAGATCCGCACTGCTCAGTGTGTCCAGCATACACTTGAGGACAGCCTTTACCAACCTGTCCCTGTCTGGTGGAGGAAAAAAGGAACAGGGTTGGTGACAGTGCAGTGGGGAGTAAATGGCTTTGAGTACAGGGGGTTAATGCTCCTCCTAGGAGCTGCTGTCCCGTCGGACACTTTAGATTGGAGAAACCAGTGTTATGGACCCAAAAGTGTCCCCTAAACTGACATGTTCCACCCTCAGCCCCAGGGGCTGAATTAGGAGCTAGGGCCTCTAGGGAGGTGTGGGAACTGAGAGCAAGTGAGATCATGAAGGCGTGGCCCTCACCAGCAGGGCTGGTGTCTGTGTAAGAACAAGTCCAACTTTCCATCTCACTCCCCCTCACTCGCCCTCAGGCTCTTAACTCTCATTCATTGCCTCTTTTTCTCCCCCTCTCCAGACCCTGTGACTGTGCACACCGCTGCCCCCACTCTGTAGAATCACCTCTGAGGACAAGCAGAGATGCAGGTCCTCTTGCCTTCCAGAGAGCTGCAACCAGCTCGAGAGATAGCGTAGCGGTTTACACATTAGACTCTACAGCACGAGGTCATAGGTTCGAGTCCTGGAGAGCTGCAGCCTCCCAAGTTCCTCCCCTGCTTTCACTATCACTTTCATCTGATAGAATTTAAAGGAGAAGCTGGACCTGACTTGTCAAGAATCTGGCCACTGTCCAGGGATTCTGGGAAAGAGTACTTCTGTCTTGAGAAGCACAATTTCCGGGAGACCCTGGCCCAGCTGGCCCAACTGTTAAACGAGGAAGAATTCGTTTGGGAGTCCACCCGCTATGGCACTGCCCTAGCTCCAGTCTCGCCCTTCTGTGCTTCCCCAGGGAGCCTGGGCACAGCTGGCGAGGAAGTGAAGAATGGATGTGTTCAACGGTGCTGCGTGGAGGGAAGGAACAGGACTGGTGGAACGAAGCACGGATTGGGGAGGAGCTCGTTTCCTTCACCTTGGCTTTCCCTTTTGTAGAGGTCATGGCAACCAGCCCAGTGTGGCAGCAGTGACACCTGTGAGTAGCTGCCTGTCACTGTCAGGGCAGAGCAAGTGCTGGGCACAGGGGTGAAGTGGGGGTGGCATCCACATGGAAGTATCAGGGTCTAGGATAGAGATACATGCACACACACAGGGAACTCATCCTGCCCTAGCTGGTCCCATCACGCCCTGTCAGATACTGTTATCCACTGATGGGGAGGGAAGGGGATGCAGATCCCATGGATGTCAGGGGCAAAGGCACACTGGGCTCCAGCTCAGGGACGTTCTGGGTGACTCTTCCTCCTGAGTCCCTACGAGCAGTTTGGTCTCACAGGTCAGGGTATGAAGGGAGCTGCCTCCTCCTCGTGGGTGAGGACCCTGGGCAGTGCCTAGGCCAGCAGGAAGGGCCTCCTCAAGGGAGTCCTAGGCACATGGCCCTAAGTAGGAGCCTACTGGAGAGGAGGTAAGCATCTGGGCCACGTCCCTGAGGATAGGACTGGGAAGGGAACCCACAGGCGGAGCGCAGAAGACCCAAATTCCCTCAAGGTCCCCTTTTCAAGCCTCTACTAATCTGCATAATGGCCAAGACTGACCTGCACATCAGTGGAAGGTGAAGAGAGAAACCTCAGAGAAGAGGATGCCCATACCTGGGGCAGGAGCTCAGGCCTTGTTACCAGCAACCCCCACAACATCAGCAAGAGTCTCCCTGAGAGTCTTCCTTACAACTAACTGTATGGGATGTCCAGGCTGAAGTGAGGGAGGAAAAATATCATAACATGGAGGGGGAGCCACAGGGTGCAAAGTTGGAAAGGGCAGGGTGGGGCCAGGTCTCCCGGGATTTCCTCCATGAGGACAGGAAAGGGCAAGAAGTACATGTCCCAGGGCGTGTGCTTTCCCCCAGGCTCCAAGCTGCTGTCCAAAGGAAGGCAGTCGCCCTGCTCCAGCTCCCTCTGCCCTCACCCTTGCCAGGCAGTGGCATCGGGTCCTGTGACAGATCAGAGGGAGGGCAATGGGCTAAGAACACAGAACAACAGCAGGGACATTTATGTATGCCTTTGCAAAGTTAGTAACACATGACACAAGGTTGCCTAGTGACTAAAAACTGACATTAACCAGTCTGGATGCTTATCTCAGTACTGTGGTAGCTTAACTGCTTGAGGCACTAAGGATAGTCCTGCTTTCCCACATTTGACCAATTTCCAGCTTCCGTGGCTCCCAATAGACAGCCAGTGGGCTTTCCCCGGGTGTAGGACATTTAGCTGTCCTGTAGTTGCAGCTGTCTGTGATTGAAGAAAGCTGAAATAATGCAGAACGTTCTCTATGCCTATCATGGCCTCCATAATTCAGCTGCTCTCCATACTCCTTCTTAAAACAAGTATTGAAGTGTAATAATTCACTACTCTTATCTTTAAGCCCTGAAATTTTATATTCTGCTGGATGCTGTATATTTCTGAGGTTTGACGCTGCATTGTTATTTGACCTTTTGCACTTCTTGTTTCCAGGATTTCTGCTTTCTGCATAAACTCTGTCTCTTTGCTGAATTTTTCTTTGTGTCCTGTACCACCATCTTTCTTACCTCATTTAATGAATTGCTCATACTGTTTCTGAAAGAATCAATCAGTTTGAATTTTTTGCAGGACTCACTTCTTGGGGCAAGAATCAGGCCTTGGGTCACGGGTAGCAAATATGGATGTCTTGGGGATGCCAAACACAAATGCCAGTGGAGGTTTACTCCAAATTTTATTGAGATCCTTGTCTGGTGAGTGGTCTCATCACAAAGTTGCATATAACTTGAGGAGGCTTTTGCTGTCTTCTTTCTCGCAAGCCTTCTTAGTGGTGGTGCACGGCTTTGCAGAGCACAGAGGAAGCTTCAGGGACAAAGAGATAATGTCAGGAGAGAAACAGCTGAGAAGATTTTATCGTACAATGCCACGTACCATTTGTTACAGCTGGGTTCTCTTTGAGCTGTTTCCTCTCCTGAAAACACTCGATTCCATCTCTTGGAAATGTCAAGGTCATCCAAAGGTCACAGAAGGCAAAATTTCTTCTAAGAAATCATTTGTACCATTCCTGGTAGAGTCATCCTTCACAGCGCAGTGAACCCAGGGCTTTCTGAATTGCTTAAATGCAACCAGGTGCCCGTTTTCTTTGTCTGTACCTAGCACCATGATGACTTTTTCCCAACACCCTCTGCAAGACCTGGGTTTGATTATACAGAGGGCTTGAAAGTATCATT